TCCCCTCCTCTTCCTCCCCCTCCTCCTCCTTACCTCCCTCTCCCCCTTTTTCTTGCTTCTCCTCCGCTGAGCCCAGCCCCCCGTTATCGTTCCAGAGGGCAGAAGATTACGGTCCCGTGGAGGTCATCTCCCACTGGCACCCCAACCTGACCATCAACATGGTGGACGACCACACGCCGTGGGTGAAAGGCAGCGTCCCGCCGCCCCTGGACCAATGTGAGGGTTGGGGGTCTCTCTCCCCCCCTGGCCTCGGGTTGCCCCACTTGAGGTTTCCGGTGTTGGGGGTCTCCCAGCTGGGGGTCTCCTAGTAGGGTCTCAGTATTGGAGTCTCCCAGTTGGATTTTGGCATTGGAGTCTCTGAGGGGGGGGGTCTCACAGTTGGGGTCTCTGTGTTGGGGTTTCCCAGTTGGGTCTCCCAGTTGGGTTTTGGCATGGGGGTCTCTGGATTGGGGATCTCTGAGTCAAGGTCTCCCAGTTGGGAGTCTCCCAGTTGGGGGTAACTGGGTTGGGGTCTCCCAGTTGGTTGGTGACCCCCATGTCGATGACCCCAATAATGTTGACCCCATGATTCTGACCCCCAATAACTCTTACCCAATAACTCTTACCCAATAACGATGACCCCCCAATAACGATGACCCCAATAGTAGTGACGCTCATGACAGTGACCCCAATAACGATGACCACCATGATGTTGACCCCCCCCAATAACAATGACTCCCCAATAACGATGACCCCAATAACGGTGACCCCCATGATGGTCACCCCAATAACGATGACCCCAATAACAGTGACCCCCATGATGTTGACCCCCATGATGGTCACCCAATAATGGTGACCCCCATGACAGTGGCCCCAATAACGATGACCCCCCAATAACGATGACCCCAATAAGACCGCCATGATGTTGACTCCCATGATGGTCACCCAATGACGTTGACCCTCATGACATTGACCCCCATGATGGTCCCCCAATAACCCTGATCCCAATAACCCTGACCCCAATAACCCTGACCCCAACGATGCTGACCCCCTCCCCCCCCCCCCCCCACCCAGACGTGAAATTCGACGCCATCAGCGGCGATTATTACCCCATCCTCTACTTCAACGACTACTGGAACCTGCAGAAGGATTACTTCCCCATCAACGAGTCCCTGCAGCGCCTGCCCTTCCGCCTCTCCTTCTGCCCGCTGTCGCTGTGGCGCTGGCAGCTCTACGCCGCTCAGAGCACCAAATCGCCCTGGAATTTCCTGGGGGAGGATCTGTACGAGCAGTCGGACGAGGAGCAGGATTCCGTCAAGGTCAGTCGAGGTCAGGGCACCCGTGGGTGCGGTGGACAAAATGCGGTGGCCGCCGTGGCTGTGCTCTCCAACCAAAGTTCATTATCCCACCTTCTAATTAATGAGTTCTTTCTATCATGGGTGTCACCACAAACTCATGTTGGCCGCCCTCCATGATGGCCTCCTCCACGTCCCCATGTCCCCACTCAATGCCAGGACCTCTGGTGGAGCATCATCTCCTGTCCCCAGCCATGGCGGCCACCACTGCTGTGCTCTCCAACCAAAGTTCATTATCCCTTTTCCTAATTAATGGTGACGTTAATGAGTTCCTTCCACCATTGATGTCACCACAACCTCATGTCCTGGCATTGAGTGGGGACATGGAGGAGGCCAACCTCTTGTGGAGCATCATCTCCTGTCCCCAACCATGGTGGCCACCATGACTGTGCTCTCCAACCAAAGTTCATTATCCCAGTGTCTAATTAACACTGACACTAATGACTTCCTCCCACGTTTGATGACATCATGACCTCATGTTGGCCACTTTCCATGATGGCCTCTTCCACGTCCCTATGTCCCCACTCGCTGATGGAGCATCATCTCCTGTCCCCAACCCTGGTGGCCACCATCGCTGTGCTCTCCAACCAAAGTTCATTATCCCATCTTCCAATTAACTCTGACACTAATGACTTCCTCCCACCATTAATGATATCATGACCTCATGTTGGCCATCCTCCATGATGTCCCCATGTCCCCACTCAGTGTTGGGACCTCTGATGGAGCATCATCTCCTGTCCCCAACCCTGGTGGCCACCATCGCTGTGCTCTCCAACCAAAGTTCATTATCCCAGCCTCTAATTAACGATGACACTAATGAGTTCTTCCCACTGTTGATGACGTCATGACCTCATGTTGGCCACCCTCCATGATGTCCCTATGTCGCCACTCAGGGTTGGGAGTCCTGTCCCCAACCCTGGTGGCCACCATGGCTGTGCTCTCCAACCAAAGTTCATTATCCCATTTTCCAATTAACGCTGACGCTATTGACTTCCTCCCACCTTTGATGTCACCACAACCACATGTTGGCCACCCTCCTCCGTGTCCCCACTCAGGGTTGGGACCTCTGGTGGAGCATCATCTCCTGTCCCCAACCATGGTGGCCACCATAGCTTTGCTCTCCAACCAAAGTTCATTATCCCAGCCTCTAATTAACACTGACGCTAATGACTTCCTCTCACCACTAATGATACCACGACCTCGTATTGGTCACTCTCCATGATGGCCTCCTCCACGTCCCCATGTCCCCACTCAATGCCAGGACCTCTGTTGGAGCATCATCTCCTGTCCCTAACCTTGGTGGCCACCGTGGCTGTGCTCTCCAACCAAAGTTCATTATCCCTTTTCCTAATTAATGATGACGTTAATGAGTTCCTTCCACCATTGATGTCACCACGACCTTGTATTGGTCACTCTCCATGATGACCTCCTCCATGTCCCCACTCGCTGGTGGAGCATCATCTCCTGTCCCCAACCTTGGTGGCCACCACTGCTGTGCTCTCCAACCAAAGTTCATTATCCCAGCCTCTAATTAACGCTGACACTAATGACTTCCTCCCACCATTAATGCCACCACGACCTCATGTTGGCCACCCTCCATGATGGCCTCCCCCACGTCCCCAATCTGAGACCTCAATGTCCCCAACCATGATGGCCACCATCGCTGTGCTCTCCAACCAAAGTTTGTTATCCCAGCTTCTAATTAACACTGATGCTAATGACTTCCTCCCACCATTAACGTCCCCATGGCTGTGCGCTGCCCCCTCCCCTCCCCCCCCAAATTCTGTTGTCCCCCCCCAAATACGTCCCCATGTCCCCAAATTCAGGTGGCCCTCCTGGAGACCAACCCCTACCTGCTGGCCCTCACCATCGTCGTCTCCATCGTTCACAGCATCTTCGAGTTCCTGGCTTTCAAGAACGGTCAGTGGGGGTTGGGGGGGGGTTATGGCGTCGTGGGGGGGGTTATGGC